AGTAGTAGTAGTAGTAGTAGAAACAATAGTAGTAATGATATGTAGTTATAGTGATAACAATACCTAATATTCTTCCTTTGGCTAGGGTTCCTGTACGGATATGAACCCCAGAGTCGCTACATCAGGGTGAGATGTGGCGAGCTCATTGTAGCAGCCAGCAAATCTGTGGCCAATGGATGCTTCTCGGCAGTTCCCGGGGATCGAGATGCATTCCAGCGTTGGTTTCCTCTGCCCTCAGACCACAACGCACGCACTGCCAGTTTGAGCGCATAAAATGGTTGTCTCAGGGTGGAGATACCGCAGACCATGGTCGGCCGGGTTGGGAGCCGAGTCCTGTGCAGTACATGAATCCGGTTGGGCAAGGCATCATGAGCACAGGATGCTCCTGACCCATGTCGCATCGTGTAAAACAAACCTTCGAAGCAGTCTCTAGCCATGAAGCCCTGCAGCCGGAAAACGGGCTTCCGAAGCAACGCGCAGCGGCTCCTAAAACCCTAAACCCTACACCCCTAAACTCCTAAATCCTAGACCCTAAGCCCTCAACCCCTAAACCCCTAACCCTAAAACCCTAAACCCTAAACCCCTAACGGTTTCGATGGTCCGGGGGGAAGCCTCGACCCCCAGGTGATCGGCCGAGGTGGCGAAACCATCCAGCGGCTCCAGCGCCTTTTGGTCTGACATTCTTTTTTGGGTACCATGAGGTTCAGGGTTTAGGGGTTTGGGGGTTTAGGGTTTTAGGGGTTTAGAGGTTTAGGGGTTTAGGGGTTTAGGGGTTCTGACATTCCTTTTGGGTAATGTAGGAACCTGATTCAGAAACCCTGGGGTCTTTCTTTGGGTTCTTAATATGAATCCTAATATATTGGGATTCTAGGGCCAGGGTCTTTATTAGGGTTCTTAATATGAATCCAAATATATTGGGGTTCTAGGGCCAGGGTTCCTTAATCAGGTTCCTGCATTAGCATAGGGGTCGGAACAGACTAGTGGTATTCCTTCGGGTTCATTACGTACACGGTCTCGCATCAGCCCTACGCCCGGAAAGGACCCTCAACCTTGTACCTACTGGAGCGGAAGCCGTCGCCCGCAAAGTGTGTCACACTGAGGCGACAGCGGCGCGAAGATTGACGTCAACAGCCAGCAGGACCCATGTCCCATTCGTGGCGACCTGAACCGGGGTCCCAGGATTTCACCCTTCGGGGGGGCTTTGGCCTTTGCAGTGCAGGATGCTCGCTTAACCCTTGCAGCACCTTCCGGAGGTTGCCTTTTTTTCCTAAGCCCTAAACTCTAAACCCTAAACCCTAAACCAGTTGCCCTTGACAACCCAGGCCTCAGCGGCACTCGCGACGCTGTGTACCGCGCGCAGTACATGATCCGCGAGGCCCTGTCTTCCGCCTCTTTGAGCGCCGTGGACACGAGCCGCTGGCAGAAGTGCTGCTAGTATTCTGGATGTAGCAGGAGTAGTAGCAGGAGGAGGAGCAAGAGGAGCAGGATCAGAAGAACTACTTAGAAGAGCAGGGCTTGGTTGAGATGGGAATAGGGGCTTGAGTTTTGAAAGCGTCTTGCCGGCTGCTGCGATCATGACGAGTGTTTTGTGGTTGTGGTTGATCCGATTGTTGTAAGTGGCCTTGCTGCGTCTATGCTGATCAGGTCATTGATGGCAAGTCCGCCGCTCAGAGTGGTGTGTGAAGGGTTGGTTCGGTTTAGTAACCCCAGAAGGCCTCTTTGTTGGCTGATGCCACCCGAGGATCGTTGAAAGGTTAAAAGTATGTGGCTGAAAGTTGCAGGAAGATGTCGGTTCTTTGGAATCCAGATGGTGTCTGCAGCAGCCATATTTAGGCCAGCACAACTTGCCTCCCTGTCGTCGGAGCTGCCTAGCCCTTTAAAGTTTTCGTTTTCCAGAATTTGCCGCAAGGCAGCTGGACTGATTAAGGAGGTCAGCAGCAAACCGTCTTGGGTGCATTGGGATATGATTAGCAGCAGCATAGTGAAGGTGCTGGGCCTACTCTTTTTGTTGTCGCGTTCGTCCGCGCTCAAAAGACCCTTAACCTGGCATCCGGGCACCAGGCAGCAAATGGCGCCTGCTTGGGGTGTCGCACTCTCAGGTGTGATAAGATTTGGCTTGGCTGATGTGGCTTTGGGCTTGACTTTGGAATGGAGGACAGCTGGGCACCCCCAATTTCAGGTTCGACTCCCTGATGAGGCCGTCTTCTGCCTGGAATTCAGCATCGCAAGCCTCTTGGCACCCATGTCCACACCCGCCAAGGTTCCCGGCTATCCCGTCTACGCAGACGCGTGGAGTTGGCCGGGATCCCAAGCCTTGTGACCCCCCACCCGGCAAGAACTCACATCGTGACAAACCTGAAGCAATCCGACACCCAAAATTCGCGCCCCTTGAGTACCCAAGCAGCTTTCCTGACTCCGACGAATTTAGCTCCCAAGCTTATGCTAGTTGTGCTTGTTTGACACGGGATTTAGGGGCAGGTTTCTTCTACTACGAATCCAGACCTTGAGAAATTGTTCCCAGGTGGACGCAGGGCAGAGGCATCGGCGGGCAATGATTGTAGGCATTGTCGTATCCTCAATCCGAGCTGTTCGTGAGCTAGCCGCGCAGCTTTTCCCAACGCAAGCACAGGGTGCCTCTGTTGGGCTTCGGGTTCTCTGCACGTATGCCCAAAGCTTCCAAGCTTGGACAGGATATGCCGCGGGTCCTTCCTCTTGGGAAATTCCTGCCGGGGACGGCCTCCTGCCTCGCAAGTCCCTTGCAGAGTCCTTGTTTTGCTTGGGGTTCCGTTTGTTTACCCTCAGCACTCAGTCGCAGCCGACTGGCCACGGCGAAATCACCAGATTCTGTGCGGTAGTATTCGAAGGTCCTTCAGATTCATGCGGACTCGGCTGTTTTGTTATCTTATTTGACATGATACTGTCTTATGTTATAGTCTGTTATGTTTTGCAGCTATATATTATGCGGTATCATAGTATGCTTTGCTATACTACATACTACGTCATTGTTATATCAGATCATGCCATATTATGTTTTCGGTATTGTATATGATATTTTTGATATACGGTGTTTTACATATTAAATGTTTGACATGGCATGCTATATTTAAAAGATTTCACATCACATATCATATCAAATGAGAGGTTTTTGGTAGTCTATGTTATTATACGAAATTTATTCGGTTCGATAACTCATCTTGTTTACTATGTGTTGTATATCATACATTGAGTTTTACATGTTCTGCATTCTACATTACATATTTTGTTCTCCATTATACTATATACAGTACTATGTCATCTTTACATTATATGACTATTTTACATTACATTATGATATATTCTATCGTGATATACTATATTTTATCATACTTTATTACGTTATTTATGTTGTACTACGTGTATCAAATCACATAATATTAATATGTGTGTATATATATATACCTATGTATATGGATAGTAGATGGATAGATAGATAGATAGATAGATAGACAGACAGACAGACAGACAGACAGACAGACAGAGATAGAGAGAGTTCACCAGGATTTAGGGCAGCAAAACATAATAGAACATATAAAACTAGATTATGATATACCTTAAGAAAATCTAGAATAACATAGCATAGCATAACATAACACAACATGATATAACAGAGTATAAGACCATCTAGTATACTGTAACTCAATATAGTACAGTACAGCATAACATAACAACAATATCTATACATAGTAACATCGCATAACCTAACATTACATGATGCATCCTGTGTCTCCGGCTTCGCACCCAAAGCAATGAAGCCCAATTCACGTCTGAGGCGGACGCGGTCAGCGTGTCGAGGAAGAGGACAAGAAGAGCAGCAGTGAAGACGAGGAGATAGATTTAGATGAGTTGTGAGGGACGGAGATCAGGCAGCACGCCTTCATCGAGTCCCTATATACTTATAGTATAATGGACACCAAGAGCCTATTCTAACTGCCCAGGCGCCTACATTCCGACAGAGAAGTTGGATTCAGGTTGTGGGATTTATGTTGGTTGCAAAAGTAAGTGACACCAGAGTTTCACCCAGCATTTGATCTGGAGACTCAGATGAAAACGGTGCCTTCATCTGCGCTTGTTGCCTTTGGCTGCAGGATAGAGGCTCCTTGGCACTGTGTTGAGGCTGCTACGAACTCGTGAGACACAGCACTCTTTAGTTAGCCTCGAACCTTTAACCCTAAACCCTAAACCTGAATCCGGTTACTCTCGGTCTCCCCAAACCCGCCTCAGCCATCATGGCATTCTAACCGCGAATCCGGCGGAAGGAAAAGAGGTGTCAACAAAAAAGAGCCCTGAAACAAAGAAAAGCAGCAACTGCTTTCATCTGGTCGAATCCACGTCCTTTCGCTACATCTGCCTTTGGCCCCATTTAGCTCTTGATATGGGCTGCAGGCAATATGGTGGATAAACTGGTCTTACATAGGATTTGATGATGTAGAGTTCATATCCTGGCCCCTGTAAACCCCAAACCTAACCTGTTCTCAGCCATTCAAACTCTTCAAGCTGTGCTTTGATCTGCCTGCTATCTGGCTCGGGACAAAGACCCTCTTTCACGGCCACTGGCCTGAGGGTTTCTACGTCTTTCTACGTTCTGGCACTCCGGTACTGCAACCCAGTGAGAGCGTGAGCTCGCAACTGCAACCACGAATGATGGGGCCTCGAATTCAGCTGCTCTGCAGCTTAATCTGCGCAGGCCGGGCAAGACTTGGGCCGACTTCGTCTTTCCAATCCTGGGTTTTCTAGGTCCTAGGACCTCGGACGGCACACGGCACCCAAAAGCCATGCTTGGCCGTGTTTTTGGTAACCAAAACAGCCGAGCAGCCCGAGCTAGTCGAGGCACCCCAAACGGAGAAGCCTGCCCAATCCGATTCTATCGCAGGTCTACTACCTCCCCCAACCCCAAATCCCCACGAGGGTGGGTTAACGGCTTATTGAAACCAGCCGTTTTAGGTTTGTTCTAGTGCCACCTCTAGAACACGTATACATCCCTATAGTAAGCCATTTACATGCGCAGGCGTTGCCGTGACGCTCTCAGCGGATGTGTGCCACGGAGAAGACCCTTGTACGGCCAATGCGGATTCTACGAATTAGGATTCCATAGTAGGGGCTCTTTTCATGGGGTGTAAAGAGGATCTAGGCCTTTAGGAGCCTCAGAAAATCTTCATTTGGGGTTCATGAGTTGAGGTTGGGGGTGCGGTGTCCGTCGAGGCCGGCCTAGAGGGTCACAAGGGTGTGCATCGTACAAAAATCTGGAGCCCACACTTTCGAGGCAGGGCCTTTGTATGTTACCATGAATCTGAGCATGGAAGTGGAAGATGCCTGATCCCCGCTTCTTCATTGCAAACCGAACTGACAGGTGCAACTCCTGTATGCACGAAGACCGATAAACCTGCACGGTGCCGCCAGAAGCCAGATGTCAGGAATGCCACCTTATACTTCTGCAGCAGAAGAAGGCTGGCCACTGATTTGCGAGTTTCTATTTGTCAGCGCCGGCGGTCGGCCCGCTTCTGGACGGCCAGGGGCGAGTCATGTTGACCATGATTAGTATGCAGGTTGCCTTTCCGATTTGCCTAGCGTGCCGCGACGTGTTATCCGTTTCTTGGGTCTTCTCCGCCAGGCTCTGCACAGCACGCTCCAGGCAGGATGTTTTCGTTCAGCCTTGTTCAGCTTCGTCCTTCGAGATTCCCAGTCTTCAATCAGCAGTGCCCGCGTATTGATCGACTCATGGACCACTGAAACTGTCTTGCAATCTGTGCTGCTTCGGGTTTCTGCCTTTCTGCTTTCTAGCTTCCTTCTGCCTTTCCGAGTGCCCTTCGGTCGCTTGGACAGTCTCTATTCTCTCGTCTAGCTATTTGCCAATCCGCATACGGTCCATCCATCCATCCATCCATCCATCCAGCCAGCCATCCATCTATCCCTGCCTGCCTGCCTGCCTGCCTGCCTGCCTGCCTGCCTGCGTGCCCGCCTGCCTGCATGCATGCATGCATGCAGGTGTATATATGTGTATTTATGCATATATATATGGTAGATGTGTGTGTGTGTATATGAATGTGCATGTATATACATATATATATATGTATGTATGTATGTATGTATGTATGTGTGTATGTATGTATGTATGTATGTATGTATGTATGTATGTATCTGGTCCCACGTCGCCGCGTCAGTGGGCCCCCCCTCCACCCCCATGGTATGCCCCTCCCTCTCAGTAAGCCAGGCCTCTCATCCGAGCAAACACTCACAATGATGGTGCTCGTCTGCGTCATCATCCTCGTAACTGTCGATGTTCTTGCGGACCTCTCGCGAAAAATCGCGCAACCCCCGCCCCCCCCCCCTCTCCACACAGATGAGAATGATGGCGATGATGCTGAGGACAATGTCGCTGATGTGCTTCTTGCATGCTGGTATTCCGAGTGACTGTTGGTAGCACCACTGCTCTTATGCTGTTCTGCCCTTAGGTACTGCATGGTACTGCATGTTCTTTGCCTTTAATTGTTCCAAAAGCTTATTTCGCTATGTTCTTTCGTAGATTCTCGTAGTTTGTATCGACCGTTGTCATGCTATGCTCAGCTTCGATTGGTGGTTGGCGTTGGGTGCGTAAAAAGTCAGCCCGAGCATGTGTGCTTGATTGACTTTCATTCAGGATTTCTTGAGCAATGGACCGGAGGAGCGTGCGGGCGGGGATCGTGATCACCATCTTCGAGGGAGGGACCGGGGCGGAACCCACACCACAGGGAACCACAAGATATGGGATAGAGAGGGGGGAGGGGGGGGCCGGCAGCGCTGCACCATGTATGTGTATATGTGTGTGTATATGTGTGTGTATATGTGTATATATGTGTATACATGAATATATGCATATCATATGGATGTAGATTTTTATATCTTTATCTCTGCCTACCTATCTCGTTCCAACTGCATGCCGTCCTGTCCGCGGTCACATCTCTTTGTCAGGATGCCTGCCGGCTTGCCAGCCCGATATTCTGCCGTTGTGCCTTTCGTCTGCGCTGTTTTCGATCGATGTGTTCTCCGAGATTCTTCCTGGCTCCCTGTCTCTGTCTCTGTCCATCTTTCCATGTGTCTGTCCAAGCCCTGAACCCTAAACCCTAAACCTTCACAATCCGTGACTAGCCAGTGCTTGCCGGTTGTATCAGGAACAGGATAACGACAATGACGGCCCCGCCGAGGAGGTGCAGCGTGGGTTATGGGCAGATGTGCTTGTACAAGGTCCTTTGCTTGTTTCAGCCTTTGGGGCTCAGCTAGAAACTAACAAACACGGTTTTCAGACTTTGCAAACAGGTCCAAGAAGTGAAGCCCTGAAGCCGTTGATTGCTGACAGGCCGTCCTGGGATATCTGCTCGACACGATGCACAAGGTGGGTCCCTGTCACTGGGAACAGCATCTGAAACTCTTAAACGTAAGTGGTGCCTTAGTCAATCGGCCAGTAGGCTTAGCTTGACACGATAAATTGCCATAAGCTGCCGTTGTGGCTGCTGAGCTTTACTCAGTAATTCGCTAGTCCTGGGCAGGCGCAGGAGGAGCAGGCGCGACAGCAGGCAGTGGCGCAGTGGGTAGCTTCCCACCAGCAAGGACTCTCAGCTGAACATATCTGCGCTTATCCCTGTGTGTTCGAATTGCGCGAATCTCAGGTGGCAACGACAGCAATGCCTCTGACAGCAATGCCACCGAGAGCAACGCCACCGAAAGCAACAGCACGGAGGGCAACTCCACCGAGAGCAACGCCACCGAAAGCAACAGCACGGAGGGCAACTCCACCGAGAGCAACTCCACAGAGAGCAATGCCACCGAGGGCAACGCCACAGAGGGCAACTCCACCGAGAGCAACGCCACCGAGAGCAACGGCACGGAGGGCAACTCCACCGAAAGCAACGGCACGGAGGACAACTCCACCGAAAGCAACGCGACCGAAAGCAACAGCACAGAGGGCAACTCCACCGAGAGCAACTCCACCGAGAGCAATGCCACCGAGAGCAACAGCACGCAGGGCAACTCTACTGAGAGCAACGGCACGGAGGGCAACTCCACCGGGAGCAATGCCACTGAGAGCAACAGCACGGAGGGCAACTCAACCGAGAGCAACGCCACCGAAAGCAACAGCACGGAGGACAACAGCACGGACACAGGCTCGTCCAAGAATGCCACGAGCGAAGGCAAGGAGAACGGCACGAATGCCACGAACGCAACCAGCTGTCCCTCGGTGTTCGAGGGTGTTAGGGTCTGGATTCAGGCTTTCGTCTTTGACGTTTCAGGGAGCAGGTACTGTTTAAGACTTACTGCGGGAGCTGGCAAGCAAGAAAAGTCTGATGCCCATGTGACCAAACCGAAGAGCCCCAGGATCGGAGCAGTGAGGGAGGCCCTGAGATTCGTTCGGATCGGCAGTCTCGGAGGAAAGCCTGGAATTACCAAGATGAGTAGACTCTGCCAGCCAGGCATCAGGATTTTCTCCACTCATGTCGGCAGGTCGTGATGACAAGCACTGTCCGCGTTTCACCCCTGTACGCACCGGTCCGGTTTTGTTCCCGCCTTGCACCAGTAGGAGTGCAAGGATGTGGAGTCTCACCCTCCTAGGTCCACGGCTGACAGCCTTTCTCGAGAACTGCAATCTGTTCAGCCACTGTTCAGTCTAGTCCATGAGCCCAAAAGCAGACAACCAGGCATGTAGAGAGAGCATGGAGTAGTGATCTTCCAGATGACGCCCGAAATTCTCTCTGTATGCGCGGTTCTCGGGTTCTTCAAGTGGCAACCTCATAGACATGTGCATGGTCGTGGAGGCGTGATTACTGGTGCCAGAAGTGCGGTGTTAGTGAAAAGACTTCTTCATACCCAGACCAGCTGTCCAATCAGCCGACACCTTCAACTACGATCTGTGGGACCAAAAACATACCTTAGACCCTGCGACGGCCCTGCGACCAAGAACGAGCAGGGCCCCCTAAACCCTAAACCCTAAACGGGGATGCAGTGCACAACAGGTCTGCGACTTGGAGCGGAAGGATGTGAACTTTGACCTGATCAAGGCCACTGCGAGGGTTCCGTGAGCCAATTCAAGGCAGAGACTCAAAAGTGCAAACTGAAATTTAAAGAAGCCGATAGCAATTTTCGCCCCGGTGGTTGCCTTTGTGACGAGTTGTTGTTGAAGGACGCTCGTAAAGATCCAGGGCTCAAGGGCTGGACTCTGACGGTTTAACTGCTGGATTCCGGCCAAAACCTGGAGTTGATTTCAGTTCACTTTGATCAACCATCCCATTCCCTCGCCGTAGTTATGAGGAGTCCCGAGTCCTAAGCCACCTGGGTCTCTTCGCTCGGCAGGTGGAGGGGAAGGTGGGCGGCAAGTTGGAGGACTGCCTCAGAAGAGCAATGGAGGGGCGGGGCTTGAGTAATTCTCCTTACTCCTTACCTTTTAGGCTTCCCTCATCATATATATATATGATATATGTATACCGTATGCCGATTCTTGAGGTACAAGAGATTTTCGGCCTCGGGGCTGCGTAGGCATCCGTTCAGCATGAGCTGTCAGGATGAGAGAGTTCAGGGCTGTTTTCGGCGAGAGTCAGATGCATCTTCGGGCCAGGGACTGCCGTTCAGGGGCATTTTGAGGGGGTCGGATATTCATGAAGCAAGGTCCTCCTAGTACGGTGACTGCGTAGCGGACTTCATACAGCTTAAATCAGTGCTTTGAAAAGACTTTCCCAGCTGAGAGCCCTAAAGGCTGGAGTGGAGAAAGCCAAGCACGACGCCGTTGCATGCCATTGCACCATGGAACCTTCAGGACACCTGCCTGATCCAGGGCATTGTTGTCGACAAGGACTTTAGTCATCCACAGATGCCGAAACAGGTCAAGGCCTGGCGCTGCCTGGTTCGAGCTGAGGGCTTTGCAGACTGACCGGCCGGGGATCTTCGCAGTAACCCCCACGGCAGCACCTGTTGCTGTGTTCTCTGACAGAAGGGAGAAAGGGCCATGGGTCTAGGGCCTACGACTCCAAGTTAGCAAAAGCTCTCCGAGCCGGTATGCACTGCAGGATGCCAAGATGGCAATCCTGACCTGCCCGTTCGAGCCACCGAAGCCGCGCGCTCGGCAAGCAGTGGGGCCTCAGCCTCTGTTGCTTGTGTATCTCAGCAGAACAGTCCACCTAGAGCCTATCCTCCCGAGTCCCTCTAGGGTCGTGTTCGGGGTTTAGGGAGGGCAAGCAGTCTTCCCAACCCCAGCACTGAGGCCAAAGACTAAGCACAAGCTCGACATCCGCACCGGTGAGGATTACAAGAAGCTGTACGAGCATGAGCAGAAGTGCTCCGTCAAGATTGGGTAAGTGCCTTCTAGACTGGATTCAGGTACGTTCTTGCTTCATCTCCTGCATGCAGCAGGTACTTTCGCGAGCAGATCCGACTCATCCAGGAGACTTCCTGCACATCTCGAGCCAAGCATTCTTCCAACTCTCAGCTCTTGCTCGCTGCAGGTCGCCACCCTCTCACTCGCTCTCTCTCTCTCTCTCTCTCTCTGTGTCTCGCTGTCCTCCCCTCTCTCCACCTGCCGTCCATGAGAACAGCCAGGAGTCAGGTGCAAATCTTGTGATTTGCCAGTGGGGCTTCGATGACGAGGCCGGCTGAGGAAGTGGCATATATACTAGATACCCTATACTATATACTATATAGTATACTAGACTGTACTAGCATTCACTAGACTATACTGTACTATACTATATTAAAATACACGATACCATACTGTACTTTGATATACTATACTATGTCATATTAGACTATACTATGCCATATAACACCAGCCGGGATCAATCAAGCAAGAGCCCATGCCACTCCAGAAGTGAATCCGAAGAATCCGAGCATGCACAAATGCACAGCAATTCCCTTTGGTCTAAGATCCCCGGCCCTTAGCCGACCACGGCAGAAGCTCAGAGAAGCCATGCAGAGTGCTCTTGCAGTTCCTTTTTTCGACAGCCGGGGTCAGGAGACACTGTCCAGGTCTGGGTTGTGCCTGCGCAAGATGGCTCCTGTTCACAGGCCAACCACCTGCTCTTCCAGAACAAGCTTCCAGCTGTGAGGCGAGCTCCTTCTCCCTCGTTCCTCATGGCCTGATGCATGGTTTCCGACAGATTTCTGCAGCCGGTTCACACGAGAGCTATCCAACGCCTGATCTCTGTACGGAACAGGTGGGTTGGTGGTGTGGAGCTAGAGCTCATCGCCATCGCCACTGGCGGGAGGAAGCTGAATTGTTGGAGATGGTATTCAGGGTTTGACTTTGGGAATCCATGGCTGCAGACCACCTGGAACACACAAAATCGCCGGCAGGATCGTTCCACGTTTTGAGGAGTTGACTGCCGACAAGCTCGGAAAGGCAGGGCGTCACATCAACATAATATAGGGGCCTTAATAATTAGAACAGGGTTTTGGGACCCATTATACTATAATTATAATAAGGAACCCCCAAAACACTATTCTAATTTGTAAGGTCCCTACATTATCGAGTTTTCAGTGGGGGTTCTGTGAAGGACCAACCGAGCTTGGTCCAAGGAAGTGTTGCACATGGATAGGTAGGTTTGGGCTTCATATTAAATATGTTCTTGGGTTACTTAGGCATTGCAAGACCATACATCAGCACGTCACCATGGACAAACAGCTCGGCAACCAATACGACTAGCAGCCTCGAATCCCCCCAGCCCAGACACATCGACCATGGGAGAAACCTCCTCCTGAATTCACAACCCCCTCAACCCCCAAGACCCCTAAAACCCTAAGCCCCAAAGCCAGGCCCCCGCAAGCCTAAACCTTTCCGTCCCAAGCTTCCAGGCAGGGCTGGTCCGCGAGGTCACCTTCGGCACGATGAAAGAGCAAATGCTCATCATCGAGGCGACCAGGGCTTCCTTGAAGGCTTAGCATCAGGGTTTAGAGTTTTAGGGTTTAGGGTTTAGGGTTTAGGGCTTAGCTAAGGTAAGGGTGTTGCTAGACGGGTTACCAAAAGGGTCGGTGGTGAGCTCCTGCAACACACCTGCCGTAATCCCCTGAAGGAGTGTGGCAAGAGCAAAGCGGTCACCGTGCTTGTTCGTGGTGGCAACCAGATGGCGGGACGGGCTTCCATGTCGCACTCTGTGATCTAATGGGCCGTCGAGGCTAAGCTACGGTAAGTGACCCTTTTACCACTGCTCTGTCGACTGCTCTGTTGTTGGTGTCGTTGGCTTCGCTGGAACAGTGCCACACGACCGGCTAGCGGCATTTCATCCTACTGTACTGGTAGTCAAAGCGACCGGAAAGCATGTTGGGGACAGGTGACAGCGTTTTTCTGCATTTTATTTTTTTTGCGCGGCATGCCCCTGTCTTTCTTGACTCCAGGACTCTAGGACTCTGTGCAGAGGGACACACCAAACCATCTCACACTGTACTCAGAATGCCTGCGTTCAGGATCGAACAAATTCTGCACAAAGCAGCCTCAGAAGAAACCGGCGAACTTTTCGCTTAGTTTGTCTATTTCGATGTCAGATGTGCACGGTCTGTAAAGAGTTCGCAACGGCAGAAGAGTGCAGGTAGTGGACGAGGCGAAGAGATGTCTCCATGATGCAAATTGCTGCGTCAGGACTCCCCTGTGTTGTGCAAGTTATGCTTTCAAGGTCGGGTGTTGAGCAATCGTTTTCCACTTCCGAATATCGATAGCAGAGCGAAGACGCACCTGCTCTGCGCAGATGCTTCAAGCGATACCGGCAAGGGATGAGCAGTTTACGGAGACTGATGTCCTGCTCGATGAGGCCCTTCCCTGATTCCTCGAACAAGATGAGAAGCACCTGCCGCTCGTGAGCCGTCACGCCAAGTGGAACAAACTGCAGAGACTCATGATGTCATGCCTGCAGGCAACGCAGATTCACACAGCTCTGCACGCAGACACAGTGCACTCTGCCCCGGCTTTGCGAAGGAATCTAATTCGAGATCCCCGAGTTGTTCCCGGAGGAGGCTGGGAGCACAACCCTAAACCCTAAACCCTATAATTAACTATAAACCCTAAACCCTAAACCCTATAACTATAAACCCTAAACCCTAAACCCTAAATGTAAGTTATGCCCCTCCCCGGCTGCAAGGAGCCAGCGAGATGGCTGCTTCCTTGGCAGTCCTGGCAGCTGCAGACAAGGAGCTCTGGAGCTCTCTGGGGGACTTGGCCGTAGTCCGGAGAGCCCAATACCCCTTAATTAAGGAATACACCTGAAATTATGGGGGCCTTCATATTATGATTTACAAGGTATATTCCTTAACTATGAGGGGTATTGGGTTTTCTGGGCAGTCCGGAAAGATGTGCTGACGGGGCCAGGAGTTTAAGGCTTCCGAAGGATTCTTGAGTCAGCCAACGATTGCAGACAAGCACAGAGGTGCACACGATCTCTGCTACCCAGCTTCCCCAAAACCAAGAAAGCAACAGAGCTGCCAGGAGCAGACGATTGACCAGTGCGCTCGCTTGGCTCGCACTGCACCCAAATCATACCTCTTGGATCCCGGTGCGAACACATGGGCCACACATTTTCTGAGTCCAAGGCTCTGCTCGAATTCGAAGTTGACCCACGTAGAGACTTGCAACAACGGGCGTATGTGGATGTGTAAAGATCTTGATGAGCAAGCAGGCTCTGCTAGAGTACGCCCAAGGCTCAGAACCCCCCCCCCCCCCACGGCTTGTTACAGTTTGCTGCCGGAGTTGCAGACGCGCTTTCTGCGGCCCCCACTCTCGCCCGATGAATGGGACGAGGTACAGCATGAAGGGCTTCGCATCTGCGCTAGACGTGATTCCAATGGCTGGGCTCCCCAGGATTTCGGATGCCTCACTCCAAGGTCGGCTTCCGTGCATGTCCCACCGATACCTTCGACCTCGGAAATACTTCCAGCTCCTAGCCTAATCCCGATGCCACGGATCCGCGGAGGGCAGCCAAAGTCTCGTACACCTGCTCAATCACTTACCGGAAGACCGCTTTCCCTGGGCATCACGGCACGAGGCACTCGCTGAAAACAGCGGCCTGCAGGGGATTGCGGAGATGGCGAAGCTCAAGGCCCTCCAGGGCTTTTGGCACAAGGCATAAGGGGGCTTCGTGTTGCTGCAGGCATTCCGGTGCCTCTCCTTCAGGATCCTGGTCAGTCTGGTTGAGATTTGGGACTTTCCGAAAATTAGGGTACCTGATTTTGGGGTCCTTATAATAAGGATCCTACTATTAAGGGTACTACTTTAGGGTCCCCTATTTTCGGAAACCCCCCATTTGGGTGCATCAGGCAATGTCACAGGAGAAGTCATCGAGCTTCGAGGGCCGAGGAACTGCATCACTCGTCCGTTGCGAGTTTGTCGAATCCTCTTGGCTGGCCATAGTCCCCAAGGACATGACAGTATCACAGGACATTGAAGATGTACACAATGCATTAGCATACATACATACATACATGCATACATACATGCATACATACATACATACATACATACATACATACATACATACACACATGGGCGTCTGGCGTTCCCGGCCCCCCGCTCCCAATGATGGTATGGTTTGGTCGGAGTAGTGGGGGTGGCGCGTGCGGAGGGGCGTTGGAGCTGCAGCTGGAGGGTGGGGTGCTGCTGGGGGGCGACCAGGGGTCACAGAGAGGGCCGGGATCATACACAGCCCAACACAAGCTATAAAGCATATAACGTAGCGCGTGCTCCTTAACCTGTACTTAAAACCCTACACCCAACCCTAAACCCCGCCTAAATGCAGGCTCTAAGCCCAAAGCAAAACATAAACCATCAACCCTAACCAACCTACACCCAACACCCTCCCTAAGCCCTTGTCGACTCGAAACATTCTACCTTTTAACCCGAAACCCTAAACCCCAAACTCAAAAGCTTAAGCTAAACCCAAAACCCCAAAACCCCACAACCACCCCACAGGGGGAAGAGGGACCCCACACCCCACCTCATGGCGCGGAGCGCCTGACCAAAAAAAAGGTGCAGCGCTGCCAGGCCGCCCCCTCCCCCCCTCCCCCTATGGTTCTCTGTGGGTCGGGTTCCCCCCCTGTCCCTGGAAGATGGTGATCACGATCCCGGTCCGCACGCTCCTCAGGTCCCTTGCTCAAGTGCGCGATCCAAAAGACGCCGACAGTTATGAGGATGATGACGCGGACGAGCACCATCCCTGTGACTGTTTGCTCGGATGAGAGGCTTGGTGTGGCTGCTGGGGGGGCATCCCATGGGGGGCGGGGCGGGGGGGGGGGGCACTGACGCGGCGACGTGGGACTATCTATCTATCCATCTGTCTATCTATCTATCTATCTATCTATATGCCCATATATAAATAACTAACTAACTAACTAAATAAATAAATATAAATAAATAAATATAAATAAATAAATATAAATAAATAAATATATATATATATATTTATTTATTTTGTATGTATAGGTGTATGTATATATATATATATTTATGTGTGTGTATACATATACAAACAAAAAATATATACTCTAACAAATTCGATCTACAAGCAGCCCAGTGGACATGACCGGATTCAGTCATCGCTTGTCCAGGCTATCCAGGAGACGTCTGGAAACGCCTGGCATGGTCATCGACTCAGATGGGTTTTGGGGTTTTGGGTTTAGGGTTGTTGAATCTGAAGGTTTCCCCGGTGAGGATTCCGGAATCGGTGGCGCATTTTTGCTTCGGGAGGGGAGTGAGCGCAGAACCAGCGGACCACGTTTCCAGCAGGAGAGGCATTGCCTTCCGTGGTCGCAGCAGTTTCTAAAGAAGGGCTGTCGTGCAGATGTCGCAGAGATAATGTAGCTGCCTAAATGATAACCAAACACTATTTCTCAGGGTTTCGTACCATAGTTAGAGTTTGCAGTTAAAGTGTAATATACCCCGAAACCCGATTCTATTTGTTAAGGCCCCTATAAACTATACTACTCTAAGGCATTCATTAAGGCCCCTATATCACTCTGAGGCATGGCCAAGTGACGTCCAGGGAACCTCCAAGCTAAGGTGTCGACTGCATGCAGACCGGAACGACGGATATGTGGGCACAGAGCATCTACGAGGCGACGGAGAGTTCCCCTGAGGGGTACTCTCGGGATCCTTTATGCGGTTCCCTTCAAGGCGTACAAAAGGTAGGTGACGGAGCTCAGAGGTTGACAGGCCTTTCTCTGCGCGCAGTGTTCCTCGGCGGTTCCGAAGAGTCTTGAGGCTCCGTGCCGTGAGACATCGTGTCTTTGCAGTCTTGATTGAAGAAACCATACTCGCCTCCCAGAGTGTGACATGCGTATGCAAGCAGCATTCTGGGTTGTGGGCAACCACTTTGAAACTTCAAAGCCGATCACGACGCCTAATCCCCACTCACTTAGATAGCGACCGTCTGACGGGTCATCTTCCATAGCACTTCAAAAAAAACGAGCAGGGACGGGACCCATGATTGGACTCAGAAGTCCCAGAACTCCCAAAACTTCACTGTCAGCCCACCCGAGGCGTGCGCCTCCAAGAGCTCTCAGCTGCGCTTGGCCACCCAGGTGCCGAGCTTACTCTATCGAGCAGGGGATTCTAAGGATCGAAAACGCGAGAGGCCCCGAAGATCACGCGGGTTCTCATGGGTGCATGGCGATGGGTTACTTCGGCACAGGCGCACCTCCGTGTTGAAACCGCGCAACAGAGGGCAGCATCTAGCTTCTCAGAACTTCGCAGTATAGGTCGGTCCTTTAGAACAGCCAGGACACCCTTTGGCATAGCTCAGTATAGCATAGTATAGTATGGCATAGTGTAGTCCAGTATAGTACGGTATGCAGTATAGAGTGTAACATAGTGTCTTGTCTTGTATAGAGCATAGTACAGAGTAGATCATCGAGTGCAGTACAGTACAGCGTATAGTTTATAGTATAGTATAGAGTATTGTAGAGATGAGAGCATGGAGAGTTTTATAGAGTATAGAGTATAGAGTAGAGCAAAGAGAAACAGTATGGAGTTTAGAGTACAGAGTATAGCGCATAGAGTATAGAGCATAGTATAGCACAAGATGCCCGACAGAGCAGCGGTAGGGTAAAAACAGAAACAGAGCGCAATGCACTAATGCTGTACCACCCTCGCTGTGTGCTACAGAAGATATCTCTGTGTGCTACAGAAGATATCGCTGTGTGCTACAGAAGATACAGAAGTCGAACAAGCGGCGTATGAGGCCTTGCTTGGGTTATATGGTTCGGGGTGTAGGCTAATGTAGGAACCTCATTAAGAAACCCTGGCCCTATATCACAAATATATTAGGATTCATATTGAGAACCCTAATAAAGACCCAGGGTCTTTTAATCAGGTTCCTACATCATATGACACGATTTAGCGGTTCGGAGTTCAGGGCTGCACCCACAAAGACTGACCAGCCCAGAACAGCTTGAAAGCTTGGCTCGGATCAGTCCAGGCTTAGCCCTTCGTCCCTTCGTCGTCCCTAGGCAGTCGCGAACCAGAGGTCCTGAGTCTATAAGGTGGCTGTGATTCGCTATCAAGCTTTCCTTTCACCCTGCTGCAACCTTGTCGGTGGCTGCATCATCATTCATCTGACCCAGTTTGGCATGTGAAAGCATGCGGCCTAAGAGTGAGCCCATCTCAGGTCGTAAAGATGATCTTGAAGATCGATGACGTGCTCACTACTTCCGACGCTATCGATGGCTAGTCGACACGTCCATCTCGCTGCTGCTGCTATGCCCTACCAAAGCTAGAGACCCAACAAGACGTGCAAGTATCAAGCATGACCAAGCTTTCCCAAGATCAGCCAAGCGACATGTAGCACTGAGCCAGGCGGAAACCCTTCCACACACTTCCCTGCATCAATGACATCATGACCAAAGTAAACTGATAGACTTGCGGTGATACTGCAAGGCTAACCAATAGCATGCAAGGGGCTTGGGGATTGCACTGACCCTGTTGACTGTTTCGGGGGCAGGAATGTCCGACAAGCAGCGGCGTGCAGGGCAAAAAGGCATCTTCGGCTTTGTACTGTGATTGAAGGCTTCAGGTCTCTGATGTCTTGGGATGAGCAGGGAAAGTCTGAAGGTTTGAGAGGTTCAGGGAACCGAAGCGCGTGAAAGCCGCATAGGCCCGGAAACTCGCACGACAGCCGACAGACGAAACTCGCACGGCCCTCTTCCCAAGGAGAAGTTTGCCCGGCAACCGCATCCGCACTGTTGAGTCATGCATCTAGCATGCAGCTGCTTGTTTCTGCTGCTTCCACAAGCGTTGTAGTGCATCATCAGGTTGCAATAGCACCTCATACTCTTGGATCTGGTGTGTGCATACAGGTCCCTTAGCACGGCATGACGGTCTTGCCGAGGTGAGTGTGTCCGGTCTAGGCTGTTGACATGGAATCCTACTTTTCCGGCAGTTGGGAGGCTCGAAACACAGAGCATCAACCTTAAAACCAGCCGAAGCCTTCATGTCTCGGCTCCTCCTTGTGCTGGCCTCATATTCGACCTTACCTGCCGTGCTTGGTCAGGTCCAAACCCGTGAGGATGCCCTGCGCTGCGCAGCAGAACCCTGGGGTCGTTACTCTGCCAGTGGTGGTTTGTACACCGTGAGGGGCGAGAAGTACATCTACACCTTCAGTGGAGACACCAGAAGCCACGAGGATAACCGGGGAGGTGTTGTGAGCACCAACTGGAGATTCCGGCTCAGTGGTAATGGCACCAAGTGTTGGGAGAGGCTTGCCGACAGCCCCGCTGCAGTGGGCTATCGCAGCACAGCAACCGTTCTGAACGGCACCCATGTGTATCTCTTTGGTGGCGGGGACACCAGCTTTGCTGCAACAGGCCATTTCTGGAGGTATTCTTTGCTCGAGAACATCTGGCAAGAGCTGCTCCCTTCGGAGGTTCAAGGCCCTTGGCCATCAGAACGCTACAAACATGCCACGGTGAAGCTCTCTGAAACGAAGATGCTGCTTCTGGGTGGCCGGCGAGGTACCACAGTCCTGTCGGATGCCTGGCTCTTTGACCTTGAGCGGATGGCCTGGTCGCTCGTGGGCAGCAACATCTTGCAGGTCTATCGTCATGGCATGACCTACGACCCTCGAAGGCAGGTCGTTTGGATCAACGGGGGTCTTGATGGTAACCGACAGCGCTACGGATCGCAGCTGTGGCTTTGGAATGTCTCTACATACGAGATTGAGCTTGTGCCGACAGAGGGTCCCGGGCCCAGTCGCTTGGCGTCGCATGCCGCAGAGTACATCGAAGCTCTGGACGCGCTGCTCTTTTGGGGTGGCACATGTTCCGACGATGTCCAGCTGTACCTGTACAACATTGCAACCAGCTCTTGGTGCGCAGTCTACGCTGCCAATCGTCCTGACAGGCGTGATGCCATGGTTTGGGCACTGGACTATCCCAAGTTTTACACCGCCCAAGGGGACCTTATCTGTCACAACTTCGGGATCTATCCCATCTCCGACGTGCACATGTTCGACTTCGCAGCTCCTGGTCAAGGCTGGCAGATGCTCTACGAGCCGCGGAACGAGAGGGGGAGGGGCACTGAGGCCTACTGCGACGGCACGAACCGGGGCTCCTGTGACCGGTCCCCGAGTAAAGCAGAGGGGCCTTAAGAATTCGAATGATACTCATGAATGCCATTCAGTTTCCGGAGTCTTAGCATGGGATGATGCAGTAAACCCCTAAACCCTATTCCAAAATCTAAAGCCCCAGCCTTACCATTACACCCTTAATCATTTTGCAGAAGGAGCGCTGACATTTTTTTGGCCGGATCTCCTCCCTACTACTGGAAATCCGAGGTCAACCGCAACCCTTGCTTGCAGAGCGATCATCTCGTCTTAGCCAGCCCGAAGGATGCGAGAGCGGCTACATGGATTCCCTTTCCAGCTGGACTACAACGACTTTGCTCGATACCCCTACTACAACGACTTTGCCCAATACCTCTGGGACACCGGCCTGGGGAAGCGCTTGCAGAACGGTCGTCTTGTCTGCTTGCATCTTTGGGATCGTCACTCTGTGGTAGACCCGGCCTTCCGACACGTTTCACGCCTCGAGAGTCTCGTCAAGCAGACCGCGTTTTAAGGCGACGCTTTTGGGGCTGGTTTTCTTGGCCATCGAGGCTAGCGCTTGTTATTCCTGTAGCTACCAATGTTCGTAGCTACCGTCGTCTCATCGAAGCTCTGATGCTGATCTGGGGCAGAGGCCTGGCGGCGGGTGAGAAAAGAGCATGAGCTAGCATGACAAGTCGGAAATCCCGCGCAGCGGGATTCTGCTGCTCCCAACTCATCCCATGACTGCTTGGCGTGATGGGCTCCAGCACAGCAGTGTCACAGAATGGAGTCAGAGAAAGGCCTCACGTCCGTTGCAGCCATCTACCATGAGGCCTGCGTTTGGAACAAATCAAGATTCGCGTCGAATTCCGAGCACCAAAACACGAAGTATGCAGCAGTAAGCATGGTTAGACAGGCCAAGGAGGCAAAGCCACACTAAGCCTGAACATCGAGCACAATCTCACATTCGTTGCTTGTTGCTTCTGAGCTGTCGCCATGGAGAACTCTGCGTGCCAGCCCCAGCCCCAGCTCTCTCGTGTTGGGAAGGCTACCGGTGCTCTACAGCCAACGTCATGCACCTTCCACATGTCCTATCAGAACGGGTATTGAACAGTAGACCGGCGCGCTTCGTCTGGAAGCCTTCCCATCTGTGAGTCAGAGGGAGAGAGCGGCGCGCGCGCGCACGCGCGCGCGCGCGTGTGTGTGTGTGTTTGTGTGTGTGTGTGTGTGTGTTTGTGTGTGTGTGTGTGTGTCTGGGTCTGTTTGTTGACCACCTTCGCCTCCCTAGCTTTTCCAAAAGTACTCACCGTTTTCAAGAACAGGGTTGGCAAGAAGGTTCCGGCTCCACGATTGTGTTGTAGCACCACGGATCATTAGGAAGCCGCAAGAAACAGCACAAGCCCACCATCAAGTTGCGGTGTCTGTCTCTGCAGTGACCCTGGCTGAGACAGGATCACCTTCTCTGTTCCCGGAGCTCTAGCCTACGTGCAGTCGCGCCGTGTTTGGTTTGGACCCAGCCCAAGTGTGCGAATCCCGTTCATGACAACTACTAGCTAGCTACCCCTTGACTTACAGAGGACTCCTCAACAACACGAATTTAAAGGTATACCGGTATACTGTTTAATCGATGAAGCTCATCTTCACCACCAGCAAGGACCCATGGTGCGGCTGTGCCCTCGAGGGGAAGGTGCAGATTGAGGTTTACTTCAGGGTCGCCGCGAAGCCGCAGTGCCGTTTCGGGTCAGTTGTAAGTCCATCCTGGAGAAGGACGAGGCTGAAACGGCTGTTCTCTACGTTTTCGAACGACTCTGTTTTCCTCTGTCCGACAAGCGGTGTGAACATCTCAGCAACCTTGAGAATACAGGGGCACCGGGTGTTTGCAGGCCGGGGTTACCAACTTCTGCCCTGCTCCCTGACATGATTTTCTTTGGAGCCTCAAGCTTGAAGCGTTTTTGGAAGATGTGCCGTGCTGCCGAAGAAGCCTTGATGATAGGGACCAAGCAGGCACGCAAAGAAACGCATTACGGCCCGCGTCCTTTTCACATAACCTTCAAGAGTTTATGCTTGAGTGCCTTCCTGGGTTCCTATAGGAGCACGAGCACAATCTTATCAATTCCCCATCTTGAAACAAGAATCTTTGTCCACTTCCCTGGCCAAGTAAAGCCAGGGCGAACCTTCGTCGTGCCGCTGTGCTGACGCTGCTGGCCACTGGGGTAGGGGATGCATCAGGATCAGGGATCGGCTTCAGGTGCGAGGAGTGCAGGTAATTAACAACCCAAGTAAGCCGTTTGCATGGCTTCAAGCTTTCAATATCGACCTCGCTAGCACCGGCACTCCACGCCCCACAAGCTTAAAGCTTAAGCCAAACCCCGGCAAGGGCTCTTACCCTCGATCCTGGTGTACTTGGAGGATGATTAGACTCGGCAACTGGAGCCATAAATGAGGTAGCTAAACACAAGGCTCCGGCACAATGGCCTGCGTGCTCTAGTCAGCAGAAGATGGTTCCACGAGGGGGCAGCAAAGGGTACCTTTAAATCTGCCTGAACTTTTTCTTGCGTACTGTACGTGACAGCACAAAGTGCTTGGCCTGAAATTCTGTTCCGCAGGTTTTGGAGGCTTTCAGAGACGGTTTCGCTTTGATGCTACAGGATTTTGGGCGTGCAATGTGCGTAGGCATCGTGCAAGGCTTAGGGTTTCAGCGCAGCGGCAACGGATATCGTGGTTCCGCTATGGTTGCGCTGCGACAACGGATGGGATGGGGTCGGAGTGGGCGTTATCACGGTTAGGGCATGGTTGCGCTGCACGCACGGGTCCTGCGGACGGAGTCTCAGCATGGATGCTTGCGAAATCTCGCAAACCACGAGGTTAACACCGCAAATACCCATGTTTTCGCAGTGGACAGGCCGGAACCACCGACGCCGCGTACATAGTAACTCAGAATTCGTGTAGCGCATCGTAAAGGTTCCAGGCAGAGCGCCCTTTGCGGCCCTGGCTGCTGCAAGCCCGTGCCTGTGGCAGGTAGCAGCCTGGCCCCAGACCAACTTTCAGCTCTGCACGCGAGGCAGGGCCCATCCTCCGAAGAGGGTAGGGTTTAGGGTTTAGGGTTTAGGGCCTGGGATGGAGGGTGGGGCAGGCGAGGGTGAGATTTGGGCCCCTTTTGGGGAGTCGTCTTGAGGCGGGGGATCATGTGCCAGGGTTGGCAGACAAGGAAGATGGGGTTCTACCCATGCATTGCAATGTCACCATCCATATTCGTTACTCCATGGCGTGCTGCATTCAAGCCCAAGCATGCTTCATATTTCTGCAAGTCGCGCATCTTCCCGGATGTTATCCATGCCAAAGCGTCTTATGGTGCTTATGCTAGCACATCTGTGGGTCTATGACGCCTCTCTCTCAAGACCAGGGACCCTGGCAGTGCGTTCCTGCGGTCGAACGTTGAGGACGCGGAGGCAGAAAAGGTTCAGGCTTCAGCTTCTTTGTAGGTGGACTTGAAGGTGTGGTGTGGGGCTGAGGCCATCTCAAGGGGGCTTTGGTTGCGTGGCCCAGATCTGGGATTAGGAACTTGATCACGGGGTGCGGTTGCAATGCTGTATTGTTGGAAAGGCACGCATGCTTAAATCCTAGGCTTGGGAAGCCGACACTCCTCTTTTACCATGAGACGCACGGTCCAAGTCTCTGCGGATCCCCTCTACAAAGAAGCAGCTTTGCAATTAAGCGTCGATGCAACGAATCAAAGTGTCATGCACCTTCATCGGTGTGGAACCAGAGTTTGCCCTTCTGCATGACCCGAGACAGTTTGAGTTCGATTCGTTGCCGGAAAAGGCTTCGGTTGGGTTTGGTCGCTTGAGTTTGTCTTGATTCTCAGGGTGTTGAGTGCACGCCTATTTTTAGTTTACGATGATGCTTGCTCGTGGCGTGCATCGACAAGTTGCGCTGCAGCTGTGGTTTTTCCAACACGAGTGAGCAGTCTCAGACATCTCGACTGGTGTCGCAGCCTCTCGTGTTTTAAGTAGCTGCGTGGCCTAACGCCTTTACCTTCAGGACGTTTCAGTTGCAGCAGTTGCAGTATGGCGCATGTGATCGCGGTATGGACATGTACGGACCTTCGAACCCTACCTACCCTGAGCCCTAAACTCCCCACACTCCCTGAGCCCAGCTTCGTTCATCAGGGCGGCGATGACCCATGCCCGGGAGCGGTTTCGCTGGGGCAGGCGCTACCCGAAGCCTGAGGCGGCGAGATCACGTGGGATTGGGGGGCCCCTTATTTCGGCTTGGCTTTCTGAAGGCTCCTAGCGGTTTCTGATTTCTGCGGGCTTTAAAGGATTCAGAAAGTTACAAGGTCTTACTGTACAGGAGCTTCTTACAATCCAGGGATACATCAGTCCTATCTGCAAAGCCGAAAGGGCCGCCTCTGCAGCCACAACCCCAAGCCTCGAAGCCCCAGAGTCAAACCTCGAAAGCCGCAGGCGCCGCCGTTTCCACCGGGCATGGACGACCCTCTTCCCTGGCCCACGGAAACCGCAGAGGCCGGCTGCTTTTTTGGGCCTGTTTAAAAGGGAGGAGTTTACTGAATTGCTTCCTGGAAGAGGCCCTGAAGCTGTGATGTGATGACTTTTTCGGATTCTTGGGGCATCGAGATCTTGAAGTGGTCTCGACCGGGGTGCGTTGTCTCCTCAGCCCAGATCATGATCGACGCCCACAGCGTGATCCCATGGTTTTGGGCGGAGACAGCCAAGATTGAAGAGGACACCCCGAAACCTCGTCTGGTAGGAAGCAGCTGGAATGTGATGTGGCAGACACCGTGCCTCCAGCTGGCACCTTTCACATTCTTGCTTTCGAACGTGGCTGTGAAGCTGCAGTAGAGTTTGGTATCCGATGCAGAAATTGTCCATGACAAGCCCTGAAGTCCGACCAGGTATTCACTCCTGCACTTGCTTCAGTTTGGTTGCTTGAGTTTCGTCGGCCGGCCACCGGTGCACATGGTAGAGTGGAAGTTCAGCGTGCCCGGGCGTAGGTTCTAGATTCCCTCTTTGCCTGTAACTTCGGAGATCATGGTAAGGCTTGGGGTTTTATGGTTTGGGGAAGGGGTTTGAGGGTTCAGTCTAGGATTCCTTCACTGCAGTTCTCCCGGCTGGGAATGAACTTGCGAGACGTGGCTAGGACGTTCAGGTTCAAAGTATGCCGCGGTTTTCATGAAAGGACCTGGACTTGCGCCACGACAAGTTTTCGTTTTGGCCCGCCCGGATTGCCAAAGCGGGGCAGGCCGGCAGTTGGGCACCTCTCGGCCATGACCTCTAGGAGCACTAGGACGTCTTTCATGGGGGCAGCCGTTGAAAGAAGAGTCTGCGATATTGCCGGGCCAGGAAAAGCCACAAAATCCAGTCCTGAGTCAACATGTCGCCTTAGCTGGGCTAAGCAGAAGTCAAATCGAAGCATGGTGCAGGCCCTGCTTTCCCGCTTTGGGCTTTCGCGGCCTCCATCACCGTGGAGGCGATTTGGCCGTAGAGGTTGTGGAACTGAGGATCTGAAAAACCGAGTTTTCCCTCGCCCTTTTGCCCCAGCCCTTGAGCTTGACAGCATAAGTGACGAGAACAGATGTCAGCACCTTTCGCTTGGAGCGCCCTGCATTCAAAGCATCATGGTCACCAGAGACAAGGTCTCCAAAAGCCCTGCAGGCTTGAAAATCGTGTTTCTGCCAGTCTCAATCTGGACCTGCATGGGACAATAGCTGTTTGACTCGGTTCATGCTGGATTCCACCTGCAATCTGCTACCTTTTGGGACAGGGTATCGTGAGTGAGGACGAGCAGACACCCCCCCCCGACCCACACTAGAAGTCGCTATCCTGAACCCTGCACCACAGCACCCTAGTCACCCCATGAGCCCAAAACCTCTGCGCAGTCCGATCATCACGGTGCGCCCCGTCTGCTGCGGTTGTTGGAAGGTTTGGGATTCGGGATGAATGTGTGGTTGTTGCCCTTGGGTTGGGCTTGCTGGAGCTGTGGCGAGCTGAGCTAGAACGTTCAGGGCAGCAGGAGGGGAGCGACACGTGAATAGCAGCACTGTTTTTTCTGAAGGTTCATTCGCCTCTCTGGGCTGGAGGTTATTGGGGCGTTCGGGGTGCAGGTGCGGGCAATTATGGGTTCTTCAAAGGATGCAGCACAAGGGCTTCCCTGGAGACCCGAGCAGAGCCCAGAGTTGACGGGAAACCGCTGGATGCTTTCAGCTCTTTCGTCCGGGCATGGGGCCGCAAGCCCTCCTGAGCCTTGCGAAGGATGGGTGAGATGGTATATAACAAAGCAGAGTTCCGGCAACGGCGATATGATCCAACAGCACATGCTGCGAAGTGCGAACAGTCCGTGAGTACACTACTCTGGTGGACCGCAGTATGCTCTAATCTACCATCGATTTTCTCTCACTTCTCCAGGTATTCGACCTTCCGGATCCCGGCAACACGTGGAATGGGCAGCAGGTCAGGAAGCCATGGTAGAAGACGGGCCATCCGGCATAGCTTCCTCTGAAGTTGGGCCCAAGTCTTGGAGGTATCTTGAGCCTTCTGTCCTGGTGATGGGCTGAATGTGAACTTTGCAGATTCTGCAGCCTTGAAATTTCGTCTCAATGTTGAATGTCGGAATGTTGACTTAAAGTGTATCCGGACATGCAACAAAGCAGCGGGGTTCCCAGTGAGCTGCCGTGACGCCTCAGATCTTTGAGACCTTCCTTGGGTGCTGCTGCTGCGGTTGCGGTTGCGGTTGCGGTTGCTGGTGCTGGTGCTGGTGCTGGTGCTGGTGCTGGTGCTGGTGCTGGTGCTGGTGGAGGTGGTGGTGGTGGTGGTGGTGGTAGTGGCGGGTATGCTTGTGGTGTGTCGTCGTCTTTTTCGGCTCCGTTGTCGTCGCAGTAAGTACGTAGTCGTAGTTCTTTTTCTTCTGTTCCTTCCACGCCCTGCCCTCGCCGCGCAGATCAAGAGATATCGGTCCCTAGCACGACAAGGGCCGCGGCAGTTCAACAACGTCACCTTAGCGTCCGGGCCATCGCATGTTTGGTGGGTCGAGAGACTGTCGAACTATGCCTGGGCAAGTTCAGGGCTGCGGTTGCCATCTGCACGGGCCTGTTGAGGGTTCGGCGTTTTTGTGAAGCTTTCAGCTTTTTCTTGCGGGGTGCGAGGTGGATCGCCTCCCAGTGTTTTCATGATGACTTCTGGACCGTGCCACTTCCGACCTGCGAATATCTTCTCTGGGCTCGGAAAGCTCATTTGCATAGGGCCCATATAGGGGCCTTTGGAAGTGACGAGAAGCCCGTCTTTCCCATGCCAGACTGTTTTCAACTCGGTCCAAACCCCAGCCCCTTGAGACGGCTTCGTGGCCCATCCCTCCACCCAGGGCCCGCCCCAAGTAATTCAGTACCCCAGGTCCAGCCAGCTAAGGAACCTCCAAAGAGTTTTCCCAGTAACGTGGAGGCGTCGCGTTGCAGATACTACAGTAGGCTTCCTAAACCGAACCTGTACTTCACTCCTCGATTCCATCCGTTTTAGCGGGCCGCCTCCACAGTGACGCGGAGCCCGGCTTTGCGCCACTTGCCCTGAACTTGGAGCGCAGGCCCGTGTGTTTTGAATGCAGGGTCTTCAAGGGAGGGAAGGCACCTGATGTGGCGAAATCGTTGAGCATGTTCATGACAATCTCTGCGGCATCCCTTAACTAAAAAATATTTCAATCCAGCTCTCTAGGGACCTGAATGATTTCCGATATCATTCCTCAGGGCCTTAGGGTTCCTTCATTTATTCAAGTATGACTGTAACGATTTGCCACGCCTTTAGTGTGTTGGAATCCTGATGGTCCAGATCAGATGAGCAAGCCCCAGCAAACCCCACCCTGCAAAAGGCATCCGGTCCTAAACCCCCAATTCGATGTAGAATCTGGGAATCTAGGTGCGAACTGCTAGTCTGTCGGCACGCCCAGGAATTCTTTCGCCAACGCTCCATGAGCGAGCAGGATGGCGCAGAGGAGTTCGAGGAGTGCGCGAGGGAACGCGACTCCAGCAATTCCAGCATCTACCGTAGAGCAGGCAAAGCGGGCGAACCTCGCATTCGAGGGAGTTTTCAAGAGTCTGGCCCTGATCAGGCTTCCTGGGCTGCGAGCCGGACATCTACTAAATGCAACGCCTAGAAAGGGCGCGTCCCAGCTTTAGACGAAGCCCAAAACCGTCGGGGGGGGGGGTCCTTTCCTTCGGTTTCTTCAGGTCTGTCCTCCGTGCGAAAGACGAGCCCTAAATCCCAAAAGTAGACATTTTTTGAGCCCCCCCAACGGTCTGGACGAATCTCCAAGAGCCCCTTCCGAAGGACTTCGAGGTGCCATGCGAGGCCTGGAATCGGGGCTTATTCGGAGTGTGATGCCGGACGTTTGGAGCGTGTGGGGGTTGGGATGGAGCTATTGATTGCATTTTCCGGTGTCCTTGAGCATCGACTGGAGCATGTCTGGCGGAAGTTGATGGTACTGAAACCGTCCGGAGTACTAGCTGATGCCAGCCACTCCCAATACCTGCATGCAATGCTGGTTATTGTCGCAGGAAAGTGAGTCGAGATACATTGCATGAATGCTTAGGCTGCTTAGCAGGACACCCCTGTTCTCTTACAAAAACGATTCCCGACAGACATCAATTAAGACTCAAACCACAACTCTCACGGGTTGGTGCATCTGTCGCGTAGATCAGGGCGTTGTCTCAATCGATGCGGCCGCGATGGCAACAGCCACTGCTGTTGATGAAGCCAACCTGTCATCTGTCGCTGTCGAGCCGGCGCACTTGGTTTGAAGAGCGGCTCATGGCATTGGGGGTGTCCTGCCCAGGAGCCCTATCGAAAAGGTTTGGGTGATTGGGGGTTTCAGTAAGTGTCGTGACTCCACCGAAGGACGCCGAGGGAAGCTTGCTGCAATCAAGAGGTCGGGAGTTGCATCTGTGGCATCTGTGGCACTGGGCAGGGCCATGGATGCCTAGATGTCGCTTCCTGGTAGTAGCGTCGGCCTGTTTTGCCGTCGGCCCTGCTGCCCTACTGCATGTAACCCTAAACCCTTAAACCCTAAACCCTAAACCGTCCTAAACCCAAAACCCAGAACCCTAAACCCAAAACCCAAAAAATCCTAAACCTCTTCTCAACCCGGAGCCTCAGTCAAATCCACTTTGCTGCCAGGGCGATGCTCCAGACTTTGGCATGGGCGCAAAGCGTGCCACATCGGCTTGGGCGTTTCGTGGTTTTGGTCGGAGCTTTGCCTCTGCGCTTGCGGTTCAGGGCTACTTGAAGTTTGGAAGTCCTTCTGAGGGTAGGAGATGTAGGAAGATGAAGAGCAACTCTCAGCTTGGCTGCCGAGTCTCCTTCATGCAGCCTCGTGCAATGCAAGCTTGGATCCTTGAGATGCCAACCCCGCAACACCTGGATCCCAGCATCGTTGGATGCATGGCAAGGGCAAGTCTCGCGCACAGCGACCAGAAAGTCGGTATCGTATATATGATCCCACACTCAATCTGACCCTTGTTGGAGATCGCCTGCCTTACCTGGCCAGATCTGATCTCCCCCCTCCCTTCCTTCCGGTAGTCTCGTCCACGAACGAGATTGGGGCGCTGTAGTACTTGCCATGCGGTTTTGCAGGTACTGTAAGTGCGCTGATGTTGCCGCCCCAGCGGCAGGACAGCAGCTGGGATAAAATTGGTTGAAGCCCGACGGAATGACCGAGGTTGGTATTGTTGGAATTGAAGGTCAGGAGGTTTCGTGAGTTTCGTGCTTCAGGATTGTCGTTGACTAAACCCTGCATTTATATATGTTGCTTCTCGTCAGCTTCAGGGAGCAACGCCCTCGAGGCCCCTAAATGGAGCATAGCAGTAGCCATCGGAGCCGTTCTCACGGACATGGGATACATGTACTGTGAAGAATTCAGGCATAGGGGTCGGAAAAGTCCTTGTACATGTATAGCAATCATACAATACTGTACCCCAGAACCCTATTCTAATTATTCTTTGTTATCACACCCTATAAGAAGCTATGGGCACCTTCATAGAACCTATATAGGGCAGTTTTTCTGTGCTTTCTGGTTATGAAGGCCCCCACAGTATTCTCAATCCGAGGTGCAAATAGCATTCACAGCATCATGGAGGTGGCAGACGGCTGAGAAGGGCCTCGTGCAGTGGGTTAAAAGCAACAATGAATGCTGATGGCACTACTACTACCACTGCCACTACCACTACCACTACGACTGCGACTACGACTACTACTACTACTACTCCTCCTCCTACTACTACTACTACTACTACTACTCCTACTACTACTCCTGCTCCTGCTCCGGACCACGACCACTACGACTGCGACGACTACGACCGCCGTGACCACTTCGGCTATACGGCTACGACTAGGACTGAGGCTTCGGCTACGATTACGGCTACGACTACGCGGAAACAGTCGGAAAATCAGGGCCCGGTCTCTCCAGTCGCATCGCTAAAACTGGATAGCAGAAGCAAGAAGCTTCAGTGTTACAGATGAGGGTTGCTGGGAATCCAGTTTGTGCAGAAGAGTGTGTGCGTGCGTGTGTGTGTGTGTGCGTGCATGCGTGCGTGAGTGTGTGTGAGAGAGGGAGGGAGAGAGAGAGAGAGAGAGAGAAAGCGAGAGAAAGAGAGGGAAAGAGAGAGTGTGTGTGTGTGCGTGGAATTACCAGAATAGCGAACGACAGCGTGCTTGGTCATGGTGTTCCAAGTTTCAAAGCAATATATAGGAAAGTCGAAGAGAGTTAGGCATACACGGTAGACCTGTCACCTGTGCCCG